ATAAATGAAGTTACATTCGGTGTAAATGTGTTAAAAACTCGTAATAAATACATGTGAGTTATTGTGTTGCTTCGGTAATTAAAAATACTTTAACGTATATTATTTTAAAATTACTTTTACTTATTTACTTTTGAAGTTGAAAACAAAACGAAATGTTCTTATCTTTTAATGAAATCGCAGTAAGTGAAAAATAATTAATGTATAAAAAAGAAAATATTTATTTTTTACTTTTTGTATAAATTCCACTACACAATCTGATATAAACAGTTATTATTTTTTAAACTTATGAACCGGACTAGCCATAGTAGCCATTTCTTACTTGTTAACTAATATATTAAGTAAAATCAAGATTATGAACCCATCCTTTTTAGTTGAAATAAAAAAAAAAAAAAAAAAAAACTAGTAAAAAAGCTGTAAGTTTAATAGATTGTGTAGTGGAATTTATACAAAAAGTAAAAAAAGAAATATTAACTTTGAATACCCTCCACCATTTGGTACAAATTTGGAAATTTTCCAAAAAAACTAAATTCTATTAAAAATTCTGTTAAAATCTTAAAATATGTTAGGGTCTATACGACGACGTGGACCTGCATACGCAACTTTTGTCATAAGCCTGCACAGACAATTTTCTGACATAGGTACAGTATTCATTACGAACTTCAAATACAAAATTTGAAACAATTCCGGTAAATAATGTCGCTAAAATCATCAAAATACCGTATATCGGGGGTACCGTTATATGGGGGCTATACGAAGGCTGTAGTATCCATTACGAACTTCAAATGCGAAATTTGAAACAATTCAGGTAAATAATGTCGCTAGAATTTTTGACAGACAATTTTCTGTCATAGGCTGTAGTATTCATTACGAACTTCAAATACTAAATTTAAAATAGTCCCGGTAAATAATGTCGCTAAAATAATCAAAATACCGAATATAGGGGGAACCGTTATATGGGGGGCTATACGAAGACGTGAACCTACATGGTCCATTTTCAATACCAAGAGTCCTGCAGACCTAATACATATTTGAGTAAATTTTTATCAATTTACTTCATTTCTTTCGAAAGCTAGAGTGATTTCCACAGACGGACAGACTGACTGACATCGCTAAATCGACACAGAATTTATGCTGATCAAGAATATATATATATAGATTTCGAGGTGTTACAAATGGAATAACAAACTGAATATACCCTCCATACTATGTTGGAGGGTATAAAAACGAGCAAAAGACAGTTAAGCCGGACCGAACTTTAGATACCCTCCTATATTTGGAAGAAATTTTCAAAATGTACAAAAAATCCATTGAAAAATGACACAGTAATTTAAAAAAATCCAAATAGCAGGAGTTTCAGTTATATGGGGCCTTACGAAAACGTCGAATATACACAGCTGGTGTGTGAAAATTCACATCGTCATTATCAAAACTAATAAATTTCTATCATTGGTTCCAACGACTGAGCACGTTATTCAAATACATGCTTATACTAACAAAATTATAAATTCTACTACGATGTGTTACTTCCACGAATGCCCTTTAATGGGCTAGTTATTTTACGACTGATTTGGTCGTTTTGTTTTGGGTTGATATGCTTAAGCGTGAAGTTCGTCAAGGTTCTGCTTTAAGTTTAATAAGTTTTTGAATAAAGCATAATGAAAACAAAAGCTTTCAAAATAAAAGTTATTCGTATTTAATATTCGAGAAAGTTATATTTTAAACAGGTATTTCAGTAGAATAAGGAAATTGCCATCAACATTCCAAATATCTTGTGGTGCCGTTATATACAGTGTGAACCTGTTTGTACCATTTACTTCCTTGTGGGTACCTAGGAAAATATAAAACTTACTTGCACATAGTATGGGGAGTATATTACATATGTCTTTCCGTTTGTTACACTTAAAGGAATTAATTTAATGCCCCACAAATAGGTACCACCTTCTCTGGCAGATAATTTGCTATAGAGGTCCACGGTTAAGTGTGGGCCCCATTTAACTGAACCTCCAGATATCCGGCATTTTGATCATTTGTGTCACATTTCATACGATAGAAAGTTGTATGACAGAAAATCACCCATCCAAATTCATATCTTTGAGACTCTCTCAATATTCGGCATTTTGATGATTTTAACTAAATGTTTCAACCACTTATCTTGGTGTTTGCAGTATTTTGGACCATTCCCGGTGAAGCGCTTGCTTGAGGTGATCGACACGTTGGTATGCCAACCTTGCTTTCCAAACTACTCCAGACACAATAGTCCAACGGATTGGTATCCGGAGATTTTGGTGGCCATTGTGCGCTGGAAATGAAGCGAGGAACCTCATTTTGTAACCATTCTTGGGTGGCGCGTGCTGTTTCGATCAAGTCGCTTCTTTACTTTTCGAACCATTTCTGCTGATGTCGCTGTTTTCTTCCGTCCACTTCCTTGACGTCTGGCTACGCTACCAGTATCACGGTGACTAGCGATGGTACGAGACACAAGAGATTTATTCACATTTAAATGCTGAAGTGCTCTAACGATAGCCACTTGTGGTTTTCCAGCCAAATATAAAGAAATCATACTATCACGCTTGTATTCCATAACAAATTACTTTTTTCAGGAAATTCTCACCACAATGCTTTTGTACGCTTGTAAACAATATGAGCTGTAACTGGAATAATTTTAACAGCTGTCGGACGAGTGGCTTAGAAATGACCCGGGTCCATGCTCATGCTGGTCCACATCTTCGTATGTATCGGTACACCCTTTTCACCGGAATTGTTTCAAATTTGGTATTTGGATTTTAAAATTGGTACTACTTACTATGATAGAAATTTGCCAATAAAGATCCACATTTTTCGTATGGCTAGCTATATGTATTCGGTATTTTGCGATAATTTACGACAGAATTATATCAAATTCGAAATTTGTAGTTCGCAGTTGGCACTGCTTCATATGACAGAAAATTGCCCATACTAATTCACGTCTTCTCATAGACCCCATATACATAATGGTACATCCTAATATTCGGTATTTTGGTGATTTTGCGAAAAATTAGCACATTCATATATTAATGTCATATTAATTGCCAAGTGATATTTTGAGTTTCCAGGGCAAGTCTAATCTTAAGATAAACAAGTAAAAAGTTCCGCCGAGCCTAACATTTTGAAGGAAATTGAAAAATTTTCAAAAAATTCCTTCGAAAATGATGGGGCTTATACGAAGACGTGGTCCTGCATTAGTAATTTTTGGTTAAAGTCTGTAGCACCCATTACAAACTTTAAATATGAAATTTGAAACAATTTGTCACAAGACTCAAATTTTCTTCCAATGGGTTTGCTGTGGTCAGAGATTGAGCCGCAAAAATGATGTCGACACCAGGTAAGAAAATTGTTCATTTCCTAGTTTCCCAATTTACTTCTTTCGTATTGATTCTTAATGGATAAATGATTGTTTGGATATAAAGAAGGAAGGAAAGGAAAATAACAATTCTTGTGAAAGAGAACGATATTGTCACACCATTGTCAGATTTCGTTAACATTTGAAGGCTTTCAGAAAATGCAAAGTTTTCTAATACTAAAGGTGCAAGTACATCAAAAGCTTGAAGTCATGGCTGTGCATATTAATGTCAATTTATAATAGAAAACGACGGCAGGATTTAAGTGCGGCTTTGTAATCCTTTTATGAAATGTCACAAAATATGCCCACTCCTTGTGTATTCACACCTTAACGAATGTGTTAAAAATACAAATGGAAAAAATTGAATTGTCGCCTACCATGATATTCTCATTTCGTAACTAACATCGTAATTTCTTCTTCATTTTTCTGTGTGGAGTTTTGAATAATCTATTTTGTCTGAGATGGTATTTTAAATGCGCTAAATCTGTTTACGTTTAGGTGTGACCCAATTTAACGTTGTTCTTCGATTTTCGATAAACTGACAGGTTCGGCAATGGGGATTGAACCAGTAGTCTCCAATTTTTTGGTATGTCCGACTTTCAGTATATTTGCATATTTACTGTACTATAAAGTTTCGTCCGAATGACTAAGTCAACATGCCTTCAAATGAATAAGGAATATGTAAAATTAAAAATAATAAAAATATCAGATTTAATTAGTTTCAATAAGGCTTAACAGCCTAAAATATTGATTCTATAAGAGAAAGGTTTTGATAAATTATTTTGACGTTTTTATAATCTCCACCTCCAAAATTCATTAAAAATGCTAAACTTTAGTCGTTTATCGATCTCACACTTCATCTGCATTTTAAAAATAGAATTAAAGGTAATTTTCTTTTAAGAATTCTCATCAGATAAAAAAGTTGTTCGCAAAAAAATTAATATCATAAACAGGTTTACGCATATCTTTTAAATAGTATTACCCCTTATTTTAGAACTTTTCCCAAATTAATTCGCCTATTTGTTGATATACTCACCAAGGGTTCTTTGAGATCCCTTTCAATGTTTATTGTTAAAGTTGGTAAATTAATCGAACAATATTTGTAGAATTTTTTTTTATGGTAACCATTAGAGAATCTAGATGGCCGATAATATTGTTATTAAAAGAAATCACTTTCATTGCAGTTTTCTAAAATTGCACCGATTTTTTTCTTACTAGGATTCTCTATACTTACTTTAATAGGTTTGGCAGTCACTGAGCTTAAGTATTATGAGGTTTAAAAAATAGACTTCATTTCAATAGTTTTTTTACTTTCTGACCAGTTTTTGAACAAATATTTTGTTTAATGTAGAACTAAAACAAGTAAATAGGGTTTCTTTCCCCTCCGCCACTAATTGTGCAGAAACCTTCAAAATAGCGAAAATCAGGAGGTACTATCATATTGAGGCTATACCTAAACGTTAATCAGTTAATCAGACAGATGGACATCGCTAAATCGCCTTATAATTTTATTCTGATCAGGAAAATACATACTTTTTGGGTCTCTGACGAATATTTCTGGGTGAAAAAACAAAATATGTTCTCCATTGTATTGTGGAGAACATAAAAATACAACATATAATCAACATCAAACACAATTTTATTACCCAATCATTAGTCATCAATATTTTTATTACAATTTTTGTTAGTCATCAAAGAAAGAATTACTTTAAAGTGGAGAGAATATTACGGCTCGTTTACTTCTTGTTTGAGGCATTGGCTGCCAAATAAGCCAACAATTTGGGTATGTGAGGTGGAACCACTGGCAAATGGTCACCTTGGGCCACAAAACCATTGTCATCGGCTGTATATTCTACGCGATATAAATTGCCATCATCACCGGTGTATTCGTAGAATCCTTTGGAACGTAGGCCCGGATCAGTTTGGAGAGCTTCAATGCGTCCGTTTTCTTCAGCCAAAATACCATTTTCTGTTTCATATCTGTAAAACATTATTAATGAGTTGGTTAAGGGTTAATATTAAATAAACATTTACTGGTGAAAAATCGTTGCATACTTTTAGGCATACACATTGTTATTTTCAACATTTTTATAGCAAAATCAAGCTGTTAAGTGTCTGTTAAGTCAACAACAGTCTTCCATTTTCTGTTGCCTTAGCAGGCAACCATAAAATTTCAAATTTTTAGATTGTTAAGCCCAATTGTGAATTTTGGGTTATTTTTAAAAGGTTTTTTTTTTTTTTTTTTTTTTTTTTTTTTTTTTTTTTTTGTAAAACTATGAAGGATATATTCATTTTCAAATAAACATTTGCGTATTTATTACCAAATTTTTACCCGGGTTGACCGTGGTTGGTCTCAATAACTTTAACACATGTTTTCCGTAGTCACATTATTGTGAAGTATCTGGGTTAACCCGTAAAAAACGTAATATAAAACTCATAGACGATAGTGATTTCCGTCTTTCATTGGCATTGATGCAGGGATGTTAAAACTAACCTACATATTCCCAATCTTTTGACAATTAAATGCATGTCTTCATTCAGTTTTCATTTTTCGTACAAGGTTTATAATCTGCCGAGCTTAATAAAAATCTGGCTGGTCTGAGTCATCTGGGACAACTTATATGTTATATTACGAGGAAATTCTGAAACAAATATGACCATTTATTCAAATCCTTAGGGGACATATTTGTAGAAGAAATATAGTGAAAAAATTGTTTCTCAACAAAGTGGATTTCTTCTCATTTGTATCGATCTTTACTTTGTAATGATCCTAAGATGTGTCTTATGTAAACCAGCTTCCCGCTATCTTCAATCTTATATAGCTTTCGATTAAAAATTATTCACGATACTCATTCGAATTTCTAACTTTTCACAACTCATACTCACAGGTAATGATAGCCATCCTCTTCGACTTTATCTTCCAAACGTATGATTGCCCAGCCATTTTTTCCCTCACCACTTCCCTTGCCTTTTGGTAAGGGTTTGGCTGTTACAGCTGCAGCTAAAATTCCACCACCTCCTCCACTACCACTGCCCGATGACGGTTTTTTAGCACCTGCCCCACCACCTGCATTTGCACCATTTGCAGCTGCATTTCCAGCACCACCACCGCCGCCACCACCAGGACCAAAACGATCCTTGTCCTGCTTATAGGGATTTGCATCGCCCGTATAACCTCCTCCTGGACGATCGTCGTGAACATATTTCACATCCTTGTGGACATATTTGCCATCATTACCACCACGATATTTACCATCGCCTCCTGGACGATATCTGCCATCGTTGGCAGGACGATAACGACCATCACTTTTCGGTGTTGGTCTTGTGGGTGGCCTTGTTGGCGGCTTGTAGCGACCATCATTTTGGGCTCGAACTGCAACACTGACTAATGCCAATAGTACAAGGCATAACTGCAAATCAAAACATTTTAAATAAATCCTGTTTTTAGTCGAAGTTTTAAATATCAAAGTTTTATTTAGCACTTCAAGTCGGTACGCACCCAAGGCCTCAATAATAGCTGCATTGCGTTATTCGCCAATATTTGTTAATAGAAATGTATTTGAAATGAAATGCTTGTAACGATTATCCGTCTATTTATACTAATGAGCTGGGCTATAAAAGCCTCCGAGCTGGCGCTGTTACAGCTGAGAACCAAGTGCATAGAATGATATTTCTGATAATAAGTGATGTTCAATCGGTTATAACTCATCATCCGTCGGCTTGATTGTTTGGCTACGCATTCATCTGTTGTTGGCGGCTGATGTTTTAATTTGAAGTACAGTGTGACCTTGATAATTGTTTCACTTCACACAAGAATGGAGAACAATGTGTTACACTTTACATTTGTCTGGCAACTTTTTATACCCTCAGCCATATGGCTACAGAGGGTATATATCATTTGATAGGTCAAAACTTGCCTAGTCGAAATAATGGTTTTAGACCCTAGGTCTCTTTGGACCAAATTCGTTTCACATTTGGAGTCGATCTACCGATGTCCGTCCGTCCGTCTGTCTGTCTGGCTGGCTGGCTGGCTGGTGCGCACGATAACTCTCGAAGGGAGTATCCGATTTAATTCAAATTTGGTACATCGTAATACTTTTGTCAAACTTAGATCGAGCAATATCGGCCCACTCCTTCTGGTATCTCCCACACAAAATGTCAACATTTTCAAAGAAAATAATTTATTGCACAGAAAGAGAAAGGATAATCCGATTTTGCTCGAACTTTACGAATCCTCATATTTTCATCTGTGCTAGGTCATGTGCGAAAATGGACAATATCGATCCACTCCAAAGGGTCAAAATTTTGAATAATTAAAACTTTTATAAAATATGATGTAAGAGTCCGACAGTCTTCAAATTCCACACATCCCAATAATTTTATTAGCATAAGGTCTGGTGCAAAAACGGAATGTATCGGTCCACTCCTTCTGGTACCTCCCCCACAAAAGGTCGAAATTTTCAAAAAATATTTTTTGCACAAAAAGAGAAACGATAATCCGATTTTGCTCGCCCACAAAGGGTCAAAATTTGAATAATTACAACTCTTATAAAAAGTGATGTACGAGTCCGATTGTCTTCAAATTTCACATATCCCAATATTTTTATTAACTCAAGGTCTGGTGTTAAGAGGCAATACATCGGTCCACTTCTCTTGGTACCTCCCCCACAAAAGGTCAAAATTTTCAAAAAATATATATAAAATATATTTTTTGCACAGAAAGAGAAACGATTAGCCGATTTAGCGCTAACTTTAAAATGGACAGTATCGGTCCACTCCATCAATACCTCCCCCACAAAGGTTCAACATTTTGAATAATTATAACTTTAAATAATGTAATGTATGGATCCGAACGTCTTAAAATTTCACACATTTCAATATTTTTATAAGCCCAAGATCTGGTGCTAACATGGGATGTATCAGTCCACTCCTTCTGGTACCTCCCACACAAAGTGTCGAAATTTTGAATACCCACGAAGCTTATAAAACGCCAAATTAACATCCGATTCCATTTAGACTTGGCACATCTCAATATTTCTATCAACACAAGATCTGTTATAAAGGTGGTATAAATTGAACCATTTCTTCTCCCCCATACATAGGGTTCAAGATTTTGAAAAACAAAACTCTCAAATAAAGCGAAATAAATATCCAACTCTCTTTAAATTTCACACACAAATAGTTTTGCTAACACAAAATCTGTTTTGAAGTTGATATATATCTGCCAACCCCTTCTGGAGTCACAATTTTCAATAAGTATATGTGTTAAAACTTTCGAAACAATTTAGCAATACTTTACTACTTTTTATTCTCAAATATTTCTCTCAATAAGAAGCCTGATATGAATATGAAATTTATCGGTATTTATGATTTAGCATAAAATTGGACATAAATATCCTTTATTGAAATTTTGCCCAATATTTCGCTCAATATTTTTTATTCGTATCAGATGAAGTATACAAGTGTAATATTTCGGTAGACTCTATATGGTACATCACGCACATTTTAACACTTTCTAAATATTATTACATGTCTCATATGAAGTGAAAGAGTGAGTCGATATAATCCATACCAGGAACGTCGGAATATTTATATAATATTTTTGGGTCCGATACAAAATGGACAATATTGCCCATTCCTTGGGAACCTGCTCCATAGAGCGTGAAACGTTTGAATAATTGTAGCACTAGTCAAATTATATTTAAATAATCGAGCACAGGCTGAGGGTATATATCTGCCGGCAATACCGACTGATATTTTTAACTTGTTACGAAACAAAACCGACTTACTTCATGTGGAGTTCATATGGCTAAAGAGGGCATAAATCATTTGATACGGCCAAAACGTGACTCATCGAAATAACGGTTTTAGACTCAAGGCCTCTTTGGACCAAATCCGTTTAAGGATATTTGGAGTCGATGTAGGTACGCAAGATACATGGTACATCGTAATATTATTATCAAACTTAGATCGGACTCGTACCTCCCCACCACGGGTTAACATTTTGAATAATTCAAACTCAGCCTTGCACTTTTTCATAGGTCCAGTTAACTACTTATTAGGTTCTCTCGCATAAAACTCTATCTTTCGAACGAATTGAGATAGAATGCTACAATTTTGCACACATGTTTATTTTGCTAGTAAGCACGTTAAGTATGTAAATGGGTCATGTAGGTCCACGTTTTCATAGAGCCCCCATATAACCGTACCTCCCGATATTCGGTATTTTGATGATTTAAGCGACATTATTCACCGGAATTGTTTCAAATTTCGTATTTGAAGTTCGTCATAGATATTACAGCCTAAGACAGAAAATTGCCTATGCAGCTCCAGGTCTTCGTATAGGTCCTATATTACGGTATCTCCCTATATACGGATTTTGATGATTTTAGCTACATTATTCACCGTTTATTTCACGTTTCGAATTTGAATATGGTAATGGCATATGACAAACGGTAATGGCAAAGACCCCAATATAACGGGCATATTCGGTATTTTCCAGAACAGAACATTTAACGGATTTTATTTTTTTAAATTTCCAAATTATTTCCAAATGGTGGAGGGTATTTAAAGTTCAGCCCGGCCGAACTTACTGCTTTCTAACTTATTAAATACCCAATTAGCGAGATCAGACTGTAATAAATTGAAAAAATTCTCAATGTTAGGCTCAATCCAGCTACTGCTACTACGAAAAAAGTTGTCGATATTAAGTGTAACAATTTATGAGGCATTTGAAATTTACCCACACTTGTCCATCCGGCCATCCATCGATCGATTCGACTGGTGTTATTGTTTTTCTTCTTCATTATCTTCGCCGTTTCATAGGCTTTGTAATAAAATCTCAAATTAATGAAGATTTACAATTAAAATAATTTACTATCCATAATGTTATTTGTGTCAATATTAAATTATTATAATTGACATTTTTTTTTTGAAATTCCACAGTGTGATGTAAATGATTGTGTCCGTATTTGACATTAACGCGAATTACAATGGTTAATTGAATTAAAGCGTTTTATTTCAAACTACAGCCGGATACACGACTGTAGTGAAGAGTTCTGATGTGTTTTAATTCTTTTACATCCTTTGACATTCACCATGCATTGAATTACAATTAAATCGTATATTTACTGTATGGTAATGATCATCTAATAATTTGATTTACAAAAATTAATTGATATTAGGTTCATTATCTTGCGGGAAGTGGATCGAAAATATATTCGCTTGATAGATATTTACATTCCATCTTCAAACAATTTAGAATTGGGCTTCCAATATTTGAATGAAGGTTTGTTATATTGAAACTGGACGGAACTTTAAACTACGATTGGAAATCATTAAAAAAAAAAAAACCTTTTTTCGTATATAACAAATAACAAGAGGAATCATAAATTCTAACCATATATCTACTAAATAAGGGTTCATTAAGTCAATTTGATCAAACGGAAGTTTTAAAACACTAGAGTTGAATTTGTTTCTAATTTTTTCATTCTTATTTTTTCTAACTGGACATAAACATTATTTATTTGGACATAAATAAATAATGTTAATATAATTTTTAACGGATTTTATTTTTTCCGAAATTGCCAAATTTGTACCAAATGGTGGAGAGTATTCAAATATCGGCCCGGCCGAACTTACAGCTATTTTACTTGTTTTTTTTTTTTTTTTAATTCCAGTATGATGTATAGTCTGTTTGGGGAGTATAATGCGACAAGGGACAAAACTATTATTTATAGATTTTATGCATTTATTGGGTAAGTGGAACTATACGAATAATATCATTTCAGAAGATGATAAGCTATGAACAAAAAATCAATATTTTACGATGTACGATGTCATTTAATTGACTCGATTTCTTGAACTCTGAAATTTGTAATGTACACCATCATTATAATTGTGGTAGATGCTATTTCGAAATATGATACTTAGGCATCGTTGAACTGGTGTAGAGTTAGGACTTCGGGAGCCATTAAAGCCTAGCTTCAGTCGGTTGCGGGGTTCGTGTCCTGCTCTTCACAAGCCATGTTTATCATTACAAAAATATTGTAGACTCCCTTTTTATTTACTTTACAAAACAATGGACCAAAAAAATAACAATTTACCCCTTAAAAATTAGGTGTGAAATTTATGGTTGTTTTTTGAAAAAATATAATGCAAACAAATCACCGGACCTATAGGATAATGTAAAAAATAATGAGGACTCTTTGATGTTAGCAGAGTCGTGCCTCTAAACCCACACCATCCTATGTCCTAACGGCATATATTTTTAGGACCCCTAAAAAATTAATCAATCCGAAATTAAGACCCTATACCATTTTGTAAGAAACGTCTGTTGATTATATTTAAGGATTCATTTCAAAATATAGAGTACAATTTTACAATTTTACAAAATAATTAAGGTACACAATTATTTTTTAACTTTCAAATGGTTAATATCTTACTATCGCATTCATAGAGAGATTATATGCTTATAGAAAAGGGGTAATAGGTCAATGATGGGAATTGAGGGGTAATAGGTCAATGATGGGAATACAGAACATATTATCTCTCTTACAGAAAGCTGATCGACATAAGAAAAAATAAAAACAAATTATTAAAAACTTACCAACATACTCTGCTTGGTATGAAGGCCTCCAATCCATGCGTATGTTGTTGTTGCATTCATGTAAACCTGTTTTAATAAGATTCTTTTTGCTTCTCAATATGAACTATTTCTAATGTCGATCATACAGTAAGAGGCAAAAATGGGTATGGATTATCATAAGAATTATTTTGCAATATTATCTAAACATTTTTTTACATTAGGTCGTATAGGCGTCAATACAAACATTCATTCAAGAAAATATTTACTCAACGAAGGTATATATCATTGAATATGTTTAGATAATAAAGCAAAATAATTTGTTATATAAAGTTGTGTATATATAATATAATATACTATCTATATAATTTTACTATCTTAGGTGATGGATTCCTGATGTCAATGCTGGATTATAGATCGGGGTTTTATTTGAAATGGACTCGTGTTGGGACCCTGATGTATATTTAGAATGAGTTGCTAGTTTCCCATATTGATATCCTATTTTCCATGCTGCGATACTATTTTTACAGGCTATCGAGGCTGTATTGGGTTTATGATTAAATATACAATGGAATGCCAGTAATCGCCAGGTAATTGTGCAACATTAGCAATCGATTTGTATTGGTTTTGGGTGGTATTTAAGCCAGCATTTCCAAATAGTATCACAGCCAATATGCGAAGTTTGTACTTGAAGTTGTGAATTTTTGAGGTATGGCAAAACTAGGATCCGAAGATTTCACGTGGCTTCGATTCTCCTATTGAAGGTTTAATGTTGTAGGTTATGTTGTGAAGTTAGTAATCAAACCCGTGGGCTTATGGCAAAATCTGGAGTTCCTTGTCTACCCGGTGGGTAGACTACGATCTAAGCGTGTTTAGTACCTATGCAGATTTTATGTAGGGCGAATTTCAGATTCTTCCGGAATGGTGTTTGTTTTCTTTGGGCTACAACAAAAGCTGGTATTTGCAAGTCTTTGGAAATTGCCTTTAGTTTTTTAAGCCAAATAAGGGTTCGGTATCACTTTTTCCGGATTAATGACGTAGCACTGGGTGTACCGAAGTCTCTACAAAAAATGTCTGTAAATATTTGCACTTTTTCTCATTTGATTAACCTTACCCTTATTAAATATGATAACTTTTATGTGATGCAAGATGGTAGAAATTGGATTGGATGTAAAATTAAATTTTAATCACTTGGATGGTTTCAAATTTATTCGGATATCGGGAACTGTTTTCTGATCTTTACTTCTTGAAGTTTCAGTAAAAAAGACAGCTTATTAATTTGGCTGCGGAAGATTAGACCTTTGTTTGCCATTGTGAAGAAGGAAAAAAGGGAATGTAAAAATTAAGCGAGTTGCCAACATATAGGTGCCACAAGAAAAAAATATCAAAACCGACATACATAGAAATAAAATGTGCCGTTGTAAAACCAAAAGGAACTAAGTCATAAGTTTCAATGACAAAATTATTTTGCTTTGTACACAAATTATTGTTAATGTTAAGTGTTATGAATGAATAACGAATGATCTATGTGGAAGTGTCCACCACAAACTCCAGACGGGTTACATTGAAGTGTAGTTTGTAAGGACCTTTAAACATTCGCTCTAAAAAATCTGTGAAGAAGTTGAAGATTTTTTTCAATTTGTCTTTCTTCTTTTGTCGACTTTATATTATGTACGGTTTTTTTCAATTTGGCTTATCATATTGAATTCAATGGATCTTTTGTGAACAAAATGAAGAATAATTTTTCACCATAAAAACGAAATAGGTGCGCTATACGATGCTAACTGGCGATCTTTCATATCTAAAATTGATATTTAGGGCCTACATCGTGCTTCAGCTGGAAGATGCGAACACATTTAAACGATCAGAAATGACCAACAAAGCTAAATGGGAGCACAAAATGCAAAATTCTTTAAGACTGCAATCAGTAAAATACGGAATATAAAGAGTGCAAAATAGTACAGGAAATTGGACATTTAGTAAGACAAGGAATTCTATCCTTCCACAAATTCTTTCCAAACATTCAACAGCTTCTAAATTACTTTTGCAGGTCATGATATAGGTCATAACTCGCGGATAAGGGTACAATCCCATATCAAGTATATTTTACATTTTAACGATATTTATATAACCATCCTATGATTTAACCTATTATATATATTGTGGTCTTGCCCACTTTTTTCATGGTTTTTTTGGCCCTAATTTGGCATCTTTTTATACCCTCCACCATAGTATGGAGGGTATATTAAGTTTCTCATTCCGTTTGTAACTCCTCGAAATATACTTTTTAGACCCCACAAAGTATATATTCTTGATCAGCATAAAATTCAATGTCGATTTAGCGATGTCCGTCCGTCTGTGCAAATCACTCTAGCTTCCGAACGAAATGAAGTAAGTTAATCTATATCTATAAAAGAGGAAAATGTTTGTATGTTTGTTTGTTTGTTTGTAATTTATGGACTCGAAAACCGCTAAATAGATTTTCCTGAAAATTTCCATATATACTGCAACATCGCCTGAAAGTAACATAGGCTATATACATTTTTGAATTTCCACTTGGAACTGGAGATATAGCATCAGAATCGGAGGTACCTCCCAAAAATTTAGATTTTATATGCACATATCTATGGATTGGTTGAAGATACAGTCTCCAAATTTGGAATACGTAACGGAATTTGGAACAAAAATAAGTTTGCCAAATTATATTGTAATCGGTTCAGATTTTGATATAGCTCCCATATATATTTTCGACCGATTTCGTTCATTTGATGCCTCAAACACAATATGAATGTTCGATTCCAATGAAATTTGGAATGTGTGACGGGATTTAATCCGAAAATAAATTTGTCAAATTATATTGAAATCGGTTCAGATTTGGATATAGCTCCCATATATATTTTCGGCCGATTTCAAGCATTTGATACACCAAACACGCTATGTATCCCCAATTTCAATGAAATTTGAAACGTGTGATAGATTTTATCTAAAAAATTGATTTCCCAAATTATATTGAAGTCGGTTCAGATTTGGATATAGCTCCCATATACATTTTCGGCCGATTTCATGTATTTGGTGGACCAAACACGCTATGTATCTCTAATTTCAATGAAATTTGGAATGTGTAGCGGAAATTAAAACAAATATACATTTGTCAAATTATATTAAAATCGGTTCAGATTTGGATGTAGCTCTCATATATATTTTCGACCGATTTCATGTATTTTATGCACCATACACGATATGTATGTTCGATTCCAACGAAATTCGGCATGAGTGGCTAAATTTGGTACAAAAATAAATTTGACAAATTATATTCAAGTACGCTCAGATGTGATTATAGCTCCCATATATATACTCAGCCGATTTCACATATTTGATGCACCCAAAGCGAGAGAGACAAAATCTGGCACCAGCAAAAATTGCCAAATTATATTGAAATCAGTTGAGGTTTGGATATAGCTAACATATATATTTCGGAGGATTTCATACATATTATGCACCAAACACGATATATATGACCGATTCCAATGAAATTCAGAATGTATGGCTGAATTTGGGTATAATAATAAATGTGATAAATTAATTGGAAATTAGTTAAGATTTGGATATAGCTCCCATATATATATTCTCGGCGGATTTCACATATTTGACGCACCAATTTCAATGAAATATGAAAGGTGTGGCGGAGTTTGGTGTAAAAGTAATTTTTTTTTTATAATTATATTTAAATCGGATCAGATTGGGATATGATTTTAATAAGAACCATTGACCCACAACGCCTTAGGCTAACACTAAAAAACAACACAACAATTTATTTAAAATACGCTTATTACGTCGAAGTATGTTGCTATCTCGAATTCACTAATTGCAACAGAAATGCCACTCTACTTAAAAAAATTTTAGTTTCCTGCACGATTGGTATTTGCTATGAAATAAATAAATCCGAAGGACAAACCCTTCGTGTATGCATGTCATGTTACTGCTTTTGTAATGATTTTGTTTATTAACGCATTAAATTAGTGCAATATTTTTTTTTTAATTTTTAAATTTGTTTTTCTTTATCCAACATATATTCGTAAATAAAATTTTCAATGCATATAAAATCAAAAGGGGTAGCGAAGCGCATCGGGTTCAGCTAGTAAGTTAATAAAAATTTACTCAAATGTGAATTATGTCTGCAGGACTTTTGGTATTGAAAATGGGCGATGTAGATCCACGTCTTTGTATAGGCCCCATATAAAGGTACCTCAGATATTCGGTATTTTGATAATTTTAGCGACATTATTTACCGGGATTGTTTCAAATTTGGTATTTGAAGTTCGTAATGGATACTATAGCCTATGCCCGAGTATTATCTCTGCAGGTCTACGTTTTATATCCTCCATGGTACCTCCCTATATTTGGTATGTTGATGATTTTAGCTACATTATAAGGAGATTCTTTTTTTTAAAGTTTCGCATTTGAATATTGTAATAGCTTATGACAAAAGTTGCGGGCCCACGTCGTCGAATAGACCCTAATATACGGCTACATTCGGTATATTTGAGATTTTAACAGAATTTTTAATGGTATTTTTTTTTTTTTTTTGCCAAAATTGCCAAATTTGTACCAAATGGTGGAGGGTATTCAAAGTTCGACTCGGCCGAACTTACAGCTTTTTTACTTGTTTTACCTAGATTATTCATCAGTTTGAGATACGGAATTGTGAGATTATCCAAAATTTAAAAGTTCGTCTGTAATTTCTCCAAACTTTTATGTTTTCTTAATCTCGTAAACCTAAAATTTCAACAAAATCATAAAATAAAATCTTCTAGGGGTCAAAGACTCTGTGAGTCATACTCTAATGTGTTTTGTTCTTCATTCTCATTCTTGACTTTAATAAAACAATTTTTCGTATAAAAGTTCTTGACGACTTTATTCATTGCTGTGTTTATATAAAACAATTACAGAATAAGTAAAACATGGCTAAAATATACAAATATACATATAATATTTATAACGCTTACACAATTCACATTAAAATGACTTAAAGTTGAAATAAATGAAAATGTAATTTCTTCAAATCCTATACACGATAAAACTCTTATGACAGCATACGACGCATTTCTAAAGATGTGGGCGTGGGTGGGTTCAGTGGATGTGGGAGAGAAAATATTTACAAAATTTGTTTTCCAAATCGTTGATATTTAACCTCGTCCGAATGTGTTGCGTCCACCGGATGAGGGCTCTTGGGGTGGTGGAGGTGCAGTGGCCAAATAGGCCAAAGCCTTTTGTATGGCCTCTGGAATTGGTGGTGGTGTGGGAATATGATCACCCTGAGGAACAAAGCCATTCTCATCGGCCGCATAGGTTATGCGAATGGGAGTGCCATCAGGTGCTGTATAGGAGAAGAAACCTTCGGCAACCTAAAAATGCAAAAAAAAAAAAAAAACATTTAAACCATTATTGAAATAGGCAACAAGGGAAAATGGATTTATTTGTTTTTGTGATGATTCATTAATTCCAGATTGCCCCATATTGATACCATAAATAGAGAGAGAGGAAAAGAAACTGCAAACGAGTGAACATTTTGTCCAAATGTCGAAGTGAACTGAACTAAACGTTTCAGGTCGGTAACAAATTGTTAAGCTTTATTTGGTTGTGCGATGTTATTGACGCCAGTGCTCATGTTTGGAGCTGCTGGTGGGCCACCAACAGGTAAAACATCTCGAACATGACAAAATTAAAATGTAATACATCTTGGCTTGAATGCCTCCGGCCGTGGGCAAATTTACAACAGTTTTCTTGGCTTGTTCTTCTAAATGTCACAGCAGCATTTTACAACGTTGCTTCTTTGCTTGTGGTTCCTCATTCATAGGATACTTGGCTAAATTGCTTGCCGAAAAATGGGTGTTACTGCTTATTGCCTTTTGTTCTTTGTTAAGCGGTGAGGTAATGAAAGGTTTTATTCATTTTTAAGCAAACGCTTCTTTATGGCACCTCAACATTATGTTTTTTTTTTTTTTGATTATTTCTATTGTTTGATTTTTTTTTACCTTTAAATTTTATGATTTACCTGCGCTTCTGCATTGCTGCCTGGATTTTTAAGATAACCCTGTTCTTCGGCTATGATTCCATTACCAGTTTCGTATGAATACTTGTAGGAACCATCAAAATTTACTTCTTGCTCTTGCCTTAGAATTGGTATGACTTCTTGTGGTCGAGCAGCTACAACTACCAAAAATAAAGCCAATGTCAGGAATATCTGAAAGCAATATAAATATTTTATTTAATAATTAGCTTTAAAAAAATAGTTATAAAGCGGTTATGAATTAATTGGATTTTTTATGTTCAGGAAATATTGGTAAGGGACTATATGACTTTTTTTAGATGATATCTAGTAAAATAATAGTTTGTCTATTATTATCAGAACCAAATAACCGTCTCTATCGACAATCTATATATTAAAGAAAGCGATTATAGTTACTTATAACTCAAGAACGGTTGGACTGATTTTTACAAATGACACTAATTTTAAATGGTCTCTTGTCAGACAAGTATAAACCTAAAAAATTGCATAGAAATATCGCAATAAAAGTGTGGTTGTAATATTTAGAGGAAAGAATGTGAATTTTCTTTATCTTTATGTTGCTTCTTCTTCTATGAGCATATAAACAATTTTTTTATAAAAAAAAAAACTATTTTTTAAACGGTTTATTTAGCTCACCCCGTTTGTTTTTTTATTCTTGGGTCAAATTTAGTAATTCAAATTTCACCCTCTTTCTGTCAACAGACAAGGCAATTATGTTTATTCATTATCAATCCAAGATGGCGACCGCGACAAAATGGCGGATATCTTAGGTTAGGTCAATCCAATCAATATGGGTATCAAATGAAAGAGCTCACAAGCAAAATACAATGAATATAATTAAAAATAAAATTAAAATCCAAGATGGCGGCCTCTACAAAATGGCGTATAACTTATGTTTTATTAATCCCATCAACATAGATGTTTAGCTCAGAGTGGCTCCGCCGATGGGAGTAATACGCCGAATGCGTCGAGCAGTGGACCGTAGGGGGGAAATATAAAAAGAAATAAAACACAATAGTTTTTCTTAGTATAATATAGATCTATTTATTCTCAGTTTGGTTTGTGGTAACGATATTACCTTTGGCAACAATATGCCTCTCCTCTATGCACAACGATATGTGCTTGCAAACGATATTGCGGGTGTTGTCTGTCCGAATGACAGCGAAATACTACTAGATGTCTAAAGGAGGCGGCAAAACACGTGACAACTAATTACTCGTTAAAACGTCAATGGATAAACCAATGGATATCAAACGAAAGGTCTCAACAAGTAGAATGCAATTTGCTATGCAAAATTGAAATATAAGATGGATGCCGCTACCAAATGGCTGATAACAATTAATCAAATAAAAGGGCTTGACAAGAAGAATATAGTGCGCTATACAAACTCAATATTTCTTTAGCGTTTTCCCCTCAAGACTCAGACGCATCTTGCTGTAAATAGCCTTGACCCTTTATTGGACCTCGGGGTGGTCGACCGTTTAAATGTCCATTGCTCGTTGAAAGAAAATGGTAAAAAACTATAAAAAATACAAACACAAGTAAAACCGAAACTGCAACACAAAGTAAACGAAGGATTCAAAAGCCGAAAAAAGTATAACATGTATATCACCACTGTTCAGAAACTATTTGCGAATAATGAGGCAACATTGTCATCAGACAGAAATTGTGATTGTCGACGAGATTTCCATAGTGTCTTATCAAATGTTATGCACGATAAACGTAAATTACAAATGACAAATGTACAAACTGTACAAATGAGTTTTTTGGAGGAGTAAACGTATTACTTTTCGGCGATCTTTTACAACTGCCTCCTATAGAACGATCAAGAACACCTATTTTCAAACAGCCAGAACATCTCCAACCAGCTACACATCTCTGGCGTTTATTCATGCTGTGTGAATTAACTGAAAATATGCGTCAGCAAGGTGGCCAGGCTTGTATTGATATTTTGAATGCTTTGAGAGTCGGTGAGCTAACAACCCAACATTTTAGTATTTTAATGGGAAGACTTCTTTAAGACACGAGCGATGAGTTTGCAATAGACAAAAGTTAAGGGCTTAAAGTCATGGGCTTCTACAATACATAAAATCGTATACTTAGGTGCGAAACTATTTGAAGAAGGTCAAGCCTACGCGGCTTTTAGTGGAGTAAGATCTATGAAGGGACTCCGTATAGAGGAGTTGGACTGCATTCATTATTGCAAGTTTTTTTGCCCGTTAAAAAAACTTGCAATAATGAATTACACAGAATGCAAAGTAAAACCTAAGAACTGGAAAATAAAAATAGTAAAAAAAATTTTTAAGTTAAACGGTTTTATGTTAAACATACATTGCAATGTTTAAGATAAATCTACTAAAAACCAAATAATAATAAAATAGATACAGTCGTGGGAATTATAAAGATATGCATAGACTAGACTAAAATAAAATAATGAGGTACGTCAATTTTCTACAATCTTTGATTGAAATGTTTGTTTTGTAATTTTATACTATAATTAGACAGTTGTTCAACCGACAACGATGGGCGCATGATAAGTAGGGCTAGAATGTGGAAACAAGCTAGCAAGCTTCATTATAAGCGAGTTTTAGGGTTTGATAGTGGTGAGCGAGTAGTACTTTTATCATATGTTTTGTCGATTAAAGACAAACTACGAACAGTGAAACGATTCCTCGCCAGCCAGAAGTGTGAACGATAAACTAGTCCAACTGTAAAATAGTTGAAATATCTCTTTTATTAACATGGAGTGTGTAACTATTGAAATTTCCAGTAAGTAATTTATTCACCGTCTGTTGGCCAACTGCCTAACGACGAATTAAACGATTCTTTTAACGCACATTAAGTACCATCGCTCGTTACCGTGATACTGGTAGCGTAGCCCGACGTCAAGGAAGTGGACCGAAGAAAACAGCAACATCAGCAGAAATGGTTCAAAAAGTAAAGAAGCGACTTGATCGAAACCCGCCTCGCAGTGGCCGAAAAATGGCTCGTGAGCTGAACATGTCGCAATATTCCATTTGGCAAATATTGAAAAATGAGGTCGGGGTAAAGCCATTGAAATTTCAAAAAGTGCAAGAACTTACACTTACACCAAATGATCGTGTTTACCTGGTGTGGGCCGTCATAACAGCCGATGGTCACTCTCCGCTCGTATTAATCGACCGTGGCATCAGAATAAATGCCGAATATTATCGCGAAAATATTCTGGAGGGTGTATTAAAGCTTTGGGCACGTAAACATTTTGGCCACAGACCTTGGACATTCAAACAGGACTTCCATCGCACTCAGCACGCACCTCCCAAGAATGGTTACAAAATAATAATAATAATGTCCACCAAAATTTCCAGATACCAATCCGCTGGACTATTGTGTCTAGAGTATTTTGGAAAGCAAGCTTGGCACTAAAAATACCAAAGTCTCGATTAAGTCAAGCAAGCGCTTCGCTGGGAATGGGCCAAACCACCGCAGAGCAACATTCGAACAGCGTGTGACGATTCCATTGGCCATAATTCGTGACAAAGGTGGACAATTCGTACAAATCTAAACTTATTCTAAAATTTGATGCTATTTCCGATATTTTCTGCTTTCATTCGATAAAATTTAAAAAAAAAAAACAAGTAAGCAAAGGCTACAGCCGAGCGGGGCCGACCGTTGAATACCCTACAACACTATAATAAATGATACATTTTATATAGGCGAGATACTCGAAAGAATTCCACAAGATATTGTGACAAATAATAAAAGAAAACCATCAGGTTTCATTCTCTAATTTTCGAATAATAGCAACTTAAACTAATTTGCTCATTTCCAATTTATTGGTAAATGGTCTTCCTAGATCTGGAACCAATATTTCCCAAAGACCTATAATCTCTCAGAAGTGGGAAAAAATTAACATTTATTATTGGTTTTTGACTGAAACGCATCTATATGAGATATAGACATTTGACTATATTCTTCAACAAAGTCAGCGTTAACGAAATAGTCAAAGTGTGTCTTTCCTGTATTTGTGAATTCTCCAAAAAGTCACTGGAATGGACATTTTCGTATTTTGTCTACAAAATTTGGCAACTATTTCACACATTGAATAATCCGGTAACCCCCATTCAAATGTGCGTGAGGATCGGGCGATAATTACGACCTGCTCACAATTTTGCATTTTTTTTTTTGGTCCATTTCAACTCCTAAATATATGGCGATCATCTCCAAAAAGAGTAGGCTTCTATTCTGACCCTCATCTTATCCCCATGCAAAATTTTGTAAGGATCGGGCCATAAATGCGATCTGTATATGATATCCTTATATCCTAACTACTTAGTTTTGTTAGCTGTAGAAATATTATCAAATGTTTAATTCAAAATGAAAATATGCCAAAAAATATGACAAAATTGAAAAATATGTGAAAATGTTACAAAATCAATATTTTCATCTTTAGAGAGATATTTTTATGCGATTTTTTAGACGTTTTTCCTCTCCTGCCAAGAATCCATTCTGAATTAATGAGAACTGTCGAAATCAGTTCAGCCGTTCTCGACATATTAGAGATCTTTCAAGCATATCTTCTTTGATAGACATATATATCGCACATATTTTGCTACATATCCGATTTGTTGGATGTTAACATCAATGTAAAGATCAGAAGTAACCTTGTGATGGCTTTGTGATTTCGCCGGGATTTATATTCGCGGTTTAAAGAAAAATTTTGAATTTTTTCAACAAAAAAGATATCGTCTATTTTACCCGCTAAATATTATCCGATGACCACCCAAATTGGTAGGCTTCTTCCCCGCCCTAAACTCTAGCTACATGCGAAATTCCGCGTCGATTGGTCTATAATTGCGACCTGTATAGCTACTGCAAAACCGACATTTTTTCAGTATTTGGTCCATTTTAACCCCTAAATATTATGTGATCATCTTCAAAAGAAATAGGGTTCTATTCTGACCTTAACCCCACCGCCATTCTAAATTTCGTGAAGATCGGGCCATAATTGCGACCTGTAGTGTGATTACAAATTAACATGGACAGACGGACAGACGGACAGACGGACGGACGGACATACATAGCTAGATCGACTCAGCTCGGCGTGCTAGGAAGATCCATATATACTTTCCTATATGGGAAACCAATATTTCGAGGTGTTACATAAATTCTGGCCCAATCAAACTTATAATACCCCCAACACATAGTGTTGTAGGGTATAAAAAACAAAACAAAGTAAGCAAAAACTAAAGTTGCGCGGGGCCGACCATGTGATACCCTACAACACTACAATATGTTAGAAGCCCCCTTATGTCCCAATCCAATTCTAAGAAGCCCCTCTGTATCTTCAAATTTAAAATCATCTATATTATTTGCTTGTCTACGATATTTGGCTATATTCGTCAACGAAATCAGCATCAAAAAGCCAGAATTTGGCCTTTTGGATATCGCCTGTAAGTAATGTTGGTATCTTTTACACAAAAAAGTAGTGGTCCATTCCACTCTAATTTCATGTGAGATTTCGTGTCCTTGGGTTTCTATTCGTGACCTCTTTAACGGCTGAAAAATCAGGAACATTTTTATTTGTTGGTCCATTTCAACCCCTAAATATATTGCGGATATCTTTGAAAACAATAGGCCTAGCCCTTCTAGGTGTAAAAATGTGAAAATGTTCGTGAGGATCGGACGATAATTGCAATCTGTATATAATAACCCCAACCTGTGTTGTAAGTTGAAAAAATATTACAAAATAGACATAAAATATGAAAAAATAAAGAAATGTCACAAAATACTATCTTTTTATGCGAATTTCTTATATTTTATTCTTTTAGGCCAGGAGGGCATTCTGAATTGACAAAATTTGTCAAAATCTGTCCAGCCACTCCTGAGATATAAGCATTTTGGATAACATCCCCTTCCTTTGTATATACACATTGTATATATATTTCGCTATATATATACGATACATTTACTATCGGCATCTACGTAACGGTCAGAATTGACCTGTTCGTCTATTTGTGATTTCCACGGATTACAAATATTCGCGGTTTAATGGAAAATTTGACTTTTATTTAACACAAATATTATGGACCATTTCATCCACTAAATATTACCCGATGACCATCAAAATTGTAAGGTTTCTGTTCAGCCCTAATCTCTAGCCCCGTGCTAAATTCCGCGTGGATTGGTCTATAATTGCGACTTGTGGATCAACTGCAAAATCATTAAATTTTTCAGTTTTTGGTCCATTTCAACCCTTAAATATTATGCGATCATCTCCAAAAGAAATAGGGTTTTCTTCTGGCCCAGTCCCGCCTACATTTTCAATTTCGAGAGAATCGGGCCATAATTGCGACCTGTAGAGTGATTACAAATCAACATGGACAGACGGACGGAGGGACATTCATAGCTAGATCGACTCAGCTCGGCGAGATAGGAAGATCCATATATACTTTCCTATGTGGGAAACTCATATTTCGAGGTGTTACATAATTTTTGGCCCAATCAAACTTATAATATCCCCAACACATAGTGTTGTAGGGTGTAAAAATGTAAAAATTATGGAGTTTGACTTTGTTGCAGTTTTTTTATCTCACTCTGTAGTCATATTTTTATTACGAAAAAGTTAGAAAGTAGTACCCTCCACCATTTTAAACATCTTTGTTAATTAAAAAAAATATATACTAATAATAAATTAAACGCATTATCCGTTAAAAATTCTGTTAAAATCTTAGAAATACGGAACAAAAGGAGTTACCGTTACTTTTGGGTCTACACGAAGTCGTGGGCCTGTAAATGCAATTTTTTGCCACATTCTGTAGTACCCATTACAAAGTTTAATTGCGAAAAATGAAAAATGAATGAGAAAATACCAAATACAGGGAGTTAACGATATTTAGGAGCTTTACGAAGACATGGACCTGCATAGACAATTCTCTGTCATAGGCTACAGCACCCATTAGGAGCTTCCAATAAGAAATTTGAAACTATCCGGGGAATAATAGGGAGGACCCGATATATGGGCAGTACACGAAGAACTGGGCCTGTATAGAAAAATTTCTGCCGTAGGAGGAAGTACGAACTCTAAATACCAAATTTTAAACAATTCGGGTCAAAACTGTTACACAAATCATCAAAAAACCGAATATCTGGATTTGTACATTTGTTTATACCAAATCTTGAATCTATATGTAATATTTTCAATACCAATAATTCTGGATACTCTCTACTTCATTCCAGGGGCAAGATAGAGTGGTTGCCATCACAAACTTTGTGGAATCTTGACCTTTTTGGTTAATTACAAACGGAATGGGTATAGGGTATAAAAACGTAATATATCCTTCATATAATTTTGGAGTTTGGTAACGGTACTATGATATCTTTATTAAGAACGAAACTAAAATTAGCACTCTAATTCGGTTGATTCAGAAGATAGCTTGATTATTTTCTGCAAAATACCTAAAAATAGCTCTTCATATAGCATCATACTTGATAGTGCAGATAATTCAGTATCTCAAGGATATATCATAATTTTCAAAACAGTTGCAATTTTAATGTAAATTTTTATTTTTTTAATTTTGTTTATTCATATTCAATATTAACTCCGTTTTTTCAAGGACCAAAGTTCTGTTTGGCAAATATTATTTTAGAAATTTAATTTTTCAATTCATTTGGTGTAGTGTATTAAATTCGATTAATATGCAAATTAATTGAAGTTACCGTTATTTTTAAAATCATATTTTTTTGTATGCAAACTATAACTTGAAGCTTTTTGATATTCTTTAAAACCAATATTCATTTCATTGCTGGATCACACACTTTTATTGTAAGGATGTTTAACAAATTGATTCTTCACTAATGCATATGTAGATATACTCGACACGAACTTCATATCCAATTTATTCAATTCGTCCTTTCAACATGAATAGATTTTACCACACACTTACTAAATTATTCATTTTATTCTAAATTAAGGATTTCGATATCCTGATTTTTGTTGGTTCAACTCGAAGAATATCACACACAGTGTTCAGTGTTCTCGTAAGACTATGAGTTGTTGGCCAAATGTCTGGATTATTTATACTCGATTGAAGATTTGTAATGACGAAGAGATGAACTGAAGTTTGAACATCATTGGGAGACACCGAACCAATACTTCTGCACACACCATGTCACTCACACACACCAAGACACACATTCGGTGCATCATAGATTGAATTGCACATAGCAACTGCCACATAAATAAACTCTATGTAGCAGCATAGTCTGCAATATCCGCCATGCAGTTCAGATTCACTTGAACTTTACATTTGGTCGAACAGACAACCGCAACAACAACACCAATAGAAATGAAGTGACTGCAACGCCAATACCAAATAACAGCCAACATTTATTCTTTTCTCTGAATATGACTTGTGGATTTTATTTTGGGTGTCGGTCGCTCTTCGAAGAGGGTGTTGTAAATCTTCTTGGCTAAATGATTGCAAATTTTATGGAAACCATTTATTTTTTATTGGAAAAGTGAAATAAGTTGATGCTGCTCGTAGAGTTAGTTTTGAATTAAAATTATAATTACACATAATCTTTTAATTCATTTATTGGTATAGAATATTTTATACATGCCATTAGCCTCAAATTCTATATAATACGGATTATCTATAGCTAAACTACTGGCTGACTGTAAATGCAACAACAGATAGCGGACGATGGTTCTTAGTAATGAAATACAAATTTAAAGAAACACTTAAATATATGAAGTATGGGAGACTAGTTAGACAAAGGCTAGGGCAGAGTAACAATGAATGCCTAAGCATAGATGACATAGACAGAGATGTTAATAGCTTAACTGAGACCCTAGTAAAGTCTTTCGAGGAATGCTGTCCACTTCGAGAGAGGAATTCCGCCTACGAAAAACCCTGGATGACAGGGGATATTCGTAACAAAGGGAAGGAGGTCCGTAGGCTTTACAACAGAGCTCGACCTAAAAAATTGGCAGTATTCTGGGACAGCTAACATAATAAACTTAATGAATACAACAAAGTAGTCAGAACAGCTAAACGAAATTCCTGGAAGCTTTTCTGTGAACAGGTTGAAAGCGTGAATGATGTTTCAAAAATAAAAAAGTTTCTTTCAAAAACCCATACACAAGCCGAGACAATGGTGGATGATATGGGTAACAAGATGGAAACAATAGAAGAAAACCTAGGGCTACTGATGAAAACACATTTCCCACCGAGCGCCACGACAAACGTGGTTACATCGGAAGATAGAAGGAATGTGACGGAGGAAGCATCAAAAATTGATGAATCGATGGTAAAAGAAGCCATCAAAAGTTTCAAACCATTTAAGGCAGCGGGACCAGATATGGTCTTCCCGGCTCTGCTCCAAAAGGAAGTAGACGTTATTTCGTCCAACTTAACCGGAATCTTCAACGCGTGCCTAAAGTTTGCGTAACCTCCACAAGCCTGGCAGGAATCCAGGGTAGTTGTTATACCCAAACCTGGGAAGAAAGCTACGCAATACCCAAGTCTTATCGACCGATAAGTCTAACATCATTCTTACTCAAAACCATGGAACGCATAATCGATACCATGATCAAGAGCAGGACTGCAAACGATATACTTAGATATAAACAACACGCATACGTTAAAGGGCGTTCAGTGGAAACCGCTCTACATAAGGTTGTACACCACATCGAGAGCACCTTCGATAAAAAGATGTACACATTAGCAGTATGCATTGACATCGAAGGCGCTTTCAACAACGTCAGCACGGATACACTAATCCAATCCTTAGATAGCTTTCAGGTCAACAGGACCCTAAGGGACTGGATAAACCATATGCTAAGGAACAGATGGATAAGTTGTGGGCTATATGACGTCATCAAAAGGGACAAAGTTGGCCAAGGAACTCCACAGGGAGGGATATTATCACCCCTCCTATGGGTTACTACCATAAATAGTCTCTTAAGGACTTTAACCAACGAAGGTTTTGAACCAGTCTGCTATGCAGACGATGTTATAACACTTCTGAGGGGAAAGAACCCTAACTTACTGTGCAGAAGGGCCGAGTCGGCTCTGAAACTTGCATACAACTGGGCTAGGCCGAGAGGTCTCAACGTCAACCCGGAAAAAACTGAAATATGTATATTTACCAGGAAAAGGAAACTGGGTATTTTCGAGGAACCAGTTTTCCTAAACAGGACAATCAACATTTCCAATAAGGTTAAATATTTGGGAGTGATTCTAGATAGGAAACTTAATTGGAGGGACCACATCCAGGAAAAAGCAAACAAAGCTCATAGATGTTGGGAAACGTGTAAAAGAGCTATAGGCTCTAAATGGGGTTTCAATCCTAACATAATACACTGGCTATACAAAAGCGTGATTAGACCTGTTCTAACTTACGCGTCAATAGTCTGGTGGACAGCCATGGATAAAAAGTGTAATATTAAAATACTACAGAAAGTCCAACGAATGTGCTGCTTAAGCACATACCATCAAAGAATCTTACAGGTAACAACGGGAGAATCAATAGAAAACTTTGTATCGGACCGGATATCTGAATCTATTGTAGCTGCCTCTTGTGGAACATTAATCCCAAAAAGAGACTCGTGGATCGATGGATTCCCATCACAGATGCCGACTGGTAACTGTTGTTACACAGATGGTTCAGTGTTGGGGGAGAGAGTAGGACTGGGTATTTTTATCGAAGAAACGAATACCAAAATCTCTTTCCGATCACAATACGATCCTACAAACGGAGGTCCAGGCGATTACAGAGTGTCTGAACTGGTTAAATGCTAACACGAGACCGGCTATAGTAAACGTCCTAACGGACAGTAAGATAGCCATTAACGCTATAACATCCAAAACAGTAACTTCAAGAACTGTATTGGAATGTATAAACTCAATCAACAACTACTCTCAACACGGTTTAGTTCGCATTATATGGGTATCAGGCCATAACGGAGTTAGAGGTAACGAGATAGCAAACTCTCTCGTTAGAACAGGCAGAGAATTAGCAGCAGTAAACTTAGACAATCCACTGCCGCTAAAAGTGTCACGTCTAATGTTAAAGACATGGGCAAAAAACGCCCATATATCCTTATGGAACGAAGAGAGCGTAGGGAAAACCACCAAAATCCTGGGGGTGACCCAAATGAGATAAAAACGAAGAATCTTTTATTGCTAGGCAAGAAAGAGATCAGTGAGGTGACAGGCATCCTTACGGGCCACCTGGGCCTAAAAGCTCATCTATACAAGATAGGTTGCACCGATAACAGCATATGCAGGGCGTGCAGGGAAGACGACGAAACTTTGGAACATTTTCTCTGTATATGCCCAGCGTTTGCTAATATCAGAGCCTAATTCTTAGGGAGCGACACTATACCAGACCTTAGTCGGATCATAGTAAATGATATAAAACAGTTAAAGAATTTCATAAAGGCAACAGAATTTCAATTATAACAGACTGTTTAACTGCTCGTCTTCCTCGGTAAAACCCAGAGGGGCACAACAGGCCTATACTGGCTTAAGTGCATGCCCAAAAGGGCTTGAGGCGAAATTGTTTTTTGCCCCTCTTTTTCAACCTAACCTAACCTAAATATTTCCGTCATAGTTGTTTAAAGTTAATTAGAACACTGCCTATATTGTTTCCAAAAAAACAAGTGTCGTACTAATATTGGACTTATATACACTTTTTACACTTTTTCAATAGACAACTAAACCTTAAGATCTATTTGAGAATTCCGATGTCCAACTCATCAAATTCTCCTTTGTATTGTTATAAACCATATTACGACACTGCATTATGAAGGTCGGCCAAAAAAGAAGAGACTTAGCCCGGTTATGAGCCCTTAAAGATTTGAGACTTTGGTGTAATATTTTAGGCTAACCTCTTCGACGCCGAAATATTTTGCGATCATCTCCCCCAACAATAGGTTTCTATTATAATTTTGGACATTCCAAGAGGACTCTGCACCATCGCACTCAGCACGCGCCACCCAAGAATGGCTATAAAATCAGGTTTCTCGCATCATTTCCAGCGCACAATGGCCACCAAAATCTCCGGATATCTATCCGTTGGACTATTATGTCTGAAGAATTTTGGAAAGCAGGTTAGCACTAAAAAATACCAAAGTGTCGATCACCTCAAGTAGGCGCAAGTATCCATTATGAACTTCTAATACCAAATTTGAAATAATTCCGGTGATCGGGAGGTACCTGCACAGACAAATTTCTTTTTTAGGCTGTAGTATCCATTTCGAACTTCAAATACCAAATTTGAAACAGTTCCGGTGAATAATGTCGCCAAAATTATCAAAATGCGTTATATCGCGAGGTACCATTATATGGGGGCTATACCAACATAGCCCATTTTCAATACCAAAAGTCAAGCAGACATAATATTCATTTGAGTAAAATTTTATCAATCTACTTCATTTCGTTTGGAAGCTAGAGTGGTTTTCACAGACGGACGGACCTCGCTAAATCGACATAGAAACGGAATGACAAACTTAATATATTCTCCATACTATAGTGGAGGGTATAAAAAACAAAGAGTATACCCGAAAATATAGAAATCACCTACATATGGTGTTAATACGACATCACGAATATTTATATGATTCGTAGAATGTTTACATAATATTATAATATACTTATACATTGGAAACGGAAAAACAGCAACATATCCTTAAACCTACTGGATCTAGCTGAGATACCTAAAATCGGATTTTAAGCTCCTCATAGGCATTTCAATAGATATTACTCAAATGTATCTCTTTGTTTTTAAATATTGCCAAATATGTAAATTAAATACAATAATAAACTCTTGCTCAATACATTAACTCCCAGTTGACTCATTCTTTAGATAATTTAAAGAAACTGGCTGGTTGTCAGTGGTGTGGAAAAAACAAATGTCCAATCATAAACAAATATACCTACCATATTTGGCATCGTGTAAAAGACAATACTCGGCCGGTATAGAAATATTCTTGATTGTAATAATTTGTATTGTTGACCACAACAAACATGACAG